TCCTACTTAGGCAACTCCAGCTACATGCTTCACACCTAGGGGGAACAAATCTGGTTTGAAAAGCACAGGGATGGGCCATGCCACCAGGTCTGAAGTGCTTTCCTCGAGTGAGATCCCCGCTATTCTGGAGGCCTCTGTTTCTCTTTCATCTCTGGAAAACATTTGTGATGAGTATTACCCAGCGCCTTCTTCCACTGGCTCTGCGGGGGCTGACTGCCACAGGCCAGAGCTGTGTCCATCTGACCAAGGGACTTATTTTCAAATGTGGCAGCAGTAAAGCGAGCATTCACCACAACCCAAATATCCTGTAATTGCCAGTAATTCCTCTGCTCGGTGACACCACCGAGCTGCGCCTACACATCTCTCCCCTTGATATTTATTGTTCCTTCTCCCGACAGAAACAAACTCCCGTCTCCTTGTTACGTGCACACAGATCCCTGTGGTTACTCAGGTCGTGTTCTTTAAACACAAGAGACCTGATCTCCACAGCTCCATCACATTCCTTTCCTTAATAAACAGTCCTGCTCCTTGTTCACAGGAAATGTTTCTGTGTTCCTCCCTGCTCTGGCTGTTCTTCGATGGACAGTCTCCTTTCTGGCTACGTCTGCTTCCAGTGAACTGGACAGCGCAGGAGATCACAGGCACCCTGGTGAAAAGCAGAGCTTTCCAGCAAACAAGGCGATCCCCATTTACAGCGAGAGAGAACTTGGTCCAAGCTTTGAGAATGAAAACACTTAAAATTTATAAAACACTAATTACGTATGTATACATGCAGCTAGGTCTGTAGAGAGAGATGTGCAGGTATCACTGTATCCTAATTCTCCCACCATTTTCTTAGCGCCCACAGACACCTTTTATTGAGTTACACTGCTTACGCTTACGGAGCTGCTCAGTAACGGCCATCAGTCTTACCAGGATCAGTCATTCTTATACACTGGACTTGCTCTCCTCTTGAGTGATCACGATTGATGGCTATCCCACCCATAGCTCTGAACAGTTGAGCTCATCTCCCGCTGTATTTATCGCCTTACGAGTTGTCCAGCTCTAACTCTACCTGACTGCCTGCCCAGCAAAGCCCAGGACAGACTGTGCTGAGCCTCTGGAGACCGCACTCATTCCCTGACTCGCTCACTCTGCAAAGGCAGCCTCCCCTGCCCTCCGCCACCTTTTTTACCTGCTGCCAATCTCTCTCTGCTTACAAGTAGCAGATACAGCCTGCAGATTAACTGTGTCACCGTCACCAGGATCCCAGGGACGGCTTTGGTCTTTCTAGCCTAGAGCAAGCCACGATGGACAGAGCAGTGCTGACACGCTGCTTGAGAAGCCTCAGGTGTGGAGGCAGGAGAGCTGTACTCCTGCAGCGCTGCGCCAGGGGCTGCCCTCTCGTGCGTTAGCGCCGTGAGCTGATCCCTGCCACAGGCTGCTGCACCACGTTATGAAGAGCTGACGGTTTCGTCCTGGAACTGACGGTTCAGTCCTGGAATCGGCGTGCTCTGCAGACACCCACACTGCTTGTTCTTCTCCCATCGCATCCTCTTTGTGGGCTCCTGCGATCTCACTCGTGTATATTTTTGCCATACTTGTGGGTTTGCTTTACCCGTAGTTTATTCCTGGCAATCAAAAACTGACTGCATATGCGATAGTGATTTAAAGTGTACCACCAGGAAGAGGACAGAGCACCATCGAGGTTCACAGTAAAAAACGATGCAAGGGAGTTGCTTAGTTTAGCTGCAGTTTCATAATCCCCTGTGACTGCTCCGTTTCTTTGAGACGGGCTGGCAAAACCACTGGCATTCTCACAGGTTTCCTACGCCCGATACGCTGACAAAGGATCCAGCGGAAGATGTTGTGGTTTGATGCCTGAAGCTGGTTACACATCGAACTCCATCCACACTCCTGATTTCCCCAGCATTGCACCTGCTCAGGTGATGTTAATCCTGCGGGAGGTCTTTAACAAGGACATGCTCCTCCTTAGCCAGTATCCCCCCCCTTTCAAAATCAGCTGCTGGAAACAGTTGCACACTCTCCTTCTTGCACGCTCGTGGAAAACATTCACCGGTTTTCCCTGCTGGCTTCCCACCTACCCGAGAATGGTGCAGAATGAGTCACGGAGATCTGCAGGGCCAGCCCTAGCCTGGTGGAAATCCTCTGAAGGAAATTTCCCTGACAACCGGAGTCTATTTCAAAAGGGATTTACCCCCACAGATTATCTTTTGCCACTTTAAGGCTAGAAACATTTCCATCTCTGCTTCCTAACCATTCTTCTTTTGATATTCTGTATTTGTTATTTACTACTTCTTGTCAGCTTTCAGACCAGGCACCCGTACCACCTTCCAGCAGCCCCTCCCTGCCAACCTCCAGTGATCTTTTACTTGCAAATCACGACAAACCATTTCACCTGCAGCTCCTCCCCAGGCCTCACTTTTGTTACCTCCAAACATCGCCTTAACATAAAAGCTCCTCCTACTCGGTCTTCACGCTGATATTTATTTCCCTGCCAGGTTTTACTTGGGATCTGGATAATAATAAAAAAAATCCCTTCTACGTGGCTTTATTTCCAGCGTGCAAAGGAACCAAGAGAAGCGGCTTAGCTGCTTCCTTAGCAAAACATCAAGCACTAAACCATCTGCAAGTACAAGGCGAAGCAGCCTGTAGCGTTCTCATGGCAGTAACGCACAGACAGATGCACTCAGAGGAGACAGACTGGGGACAGCCGGATGGCACAGAAATCCCACAACACGGCCAGCCGGCTTCCAGGCTTGTAAACAGCAGCAGCCGACATCAGGCAGGGGTTTGATGCTCACTCACCTCCTGGTTGTAGATCTGAAGCACCTTGAGAACTGTGTCTTGCTCCCCGCTTTCCACGGTGGCTACCACAGTCCTGAGCTCCATTATCTCAACAGCTCAGCTACAGCAGGAGGTGAAACCGGGAGGAAGGGGAATGAGGGGGCTTCCAGGGCTCCTGGATAACGGTGATGCAAAAGGACCTTGATACACGGATATCTGAGAGGGAGAGAAAGGGGTGGGGGAAGGAAGGAGCGGGGGGGGGGGGGGGAAAAAGCAAGAATACAAAAACCCCAAGTGAGATTGCTCACGCTGTTGCATCCATAAAAGCAGAGCAGATGGATAACCCCAGTAAAACCAGCACCCAGCTTCCTCTCTCTCCCTCTAATCCTCTTCTTCCTCTTTGCTTTTCAATGCTTAATATATGCCCTCCCAGTAAAGCACTCAGGGAAAACCTCCCCCCCACCTAGCCAGGGGATTAACAGAGAGCAGATAACAGCAGCTCCCTGAAATAGCTCTCTGCCTCCTCCTCCTCCTCCCCTGGCTGGCCTGATTTCTGTTACTGCACAGGAAGGAAAAAAAAAGAAAAAAAAAAAAAAATCCAGAAACATTCCCATGGAGGAAAAAGGGATGGAGAGGAAAGCCAGGCAGATAGGAAAGCATCCTCCTGGCTAAAGGTGGAGCTACCTTTTAAGGTGGTGGGAAGAAGAGATCCTTGGGATTTTGTTGCAGTTGCTGCTCCGTGCGGTCAGGCATCAGATTATGGCAGATACACTGCACAGGCACGGAACAGCACGTACGGGGATGGCTGGCCTCCACGGCTCACGTCTTTGTGCCATTACAGAAGATAATGTCCCTCACGATAATAACGTAAATGAGCAGATGCGCATAAAGACGCAGATGATGAGGTTATTTTAGACACGGGCACAAGTGTAACAGCTCACAGAGCCGTGCCAGTCCTCAGCATTGGAAGGTAACGCCCGGTGATCGCAAACCTAGCGAAACCGCCTGCGTACGTGAGTTAGCGCGTCCGCCCAGAGCCCGCGCAGCTACGCACCGTGTGCGGCGATGGCACCGAGCACCGGTCACACCTAATGACACACCTAAGAAACCACGCTGGCCCTGGGAGCCGATTCTGTGCCGAGAGCCGGCGGGGTTTGGGGAAATCACAGGGGAACGCCGGGTGATCCCCTCCTGCCCCGACACAGCCAAGAGGGGGCTTTCGGGAGGAAGGGCAAGCCCTGCATTTTGGAAGCCAGAAAAGGGCCAGCACAAAAGGCCGAGCTCAGCCACGGGGCCACCAGCGCGGAGGGGCTGGGGTACTGGACAGACCCCT